AGGGCATGTACCTCGTTTGCAGGTTCACTCCCTGCTCTGGTCTGGGCGCGTGAGCGAGGCACCAGTTGATGTGTCTCTCACACTGATGTTCTCTCTCCCTCCGGCCCCCCATTCCCTTCCTCCCTTCACTCTCTCTGAAAAAGCAATGGAAAAAATATCTTCAGGTGAGGATTAAAAAACGAACGAACAAAAAACAAAAAACAACAAAAAGAGCAGTGGCCCCGTGGTGAAGCTGGGGCATATTCCAGAGGCAGTCCTGAGCCACCCACAGGAGGCAGAGTGGAATGGCATGGACTCAGGTCAAAAGCCACAGCTTTGGGGAGGCTTTAGAACTTCCAATGGTCAAACTGGGGTGGGGGCAGGGAGGCTACAATGGTGGGCACAGGTAAGGGCCCTGAGGCCAGTGCTCCCCACCTCCGTCCCCCTTTACTCCAGCCTCCTGGTATGTGAGGAACCCCAGCAGCCAGCAGACCTTTGCCACTGGCGGTAGAAGAGGTTAAGAGCAGAACCCTCCTCCCGCTAGCTCTGCTGGGGCACTTGAGGGATGGGATGGTCTAGTCCAGTGGTCGGCAAACTGCGGCCCCTTGAGTGTGGCTCTTCCACAAAATACCACGAGCCACAGTTTGCCAACCACTGGTCTAGTCCACATGGCCTGGGGTATTGAAGCCATTAATGCTTGCTGAGTGCTTCCTGCACAAGACACCAAGCTGAAGGCTTTCTAGGCACTGAAAAATTCATTCCCTTTATAAGACTCTAAGGCAGCGGTTCTCAACCTGTGCTCAAGGATTTCATAGACAAGAAAATACTCTATGCCTAAGAACATACTCATCATTCTATGCCTAAGTTCAATACATACTTCTATGAAAGAATGAATGAAATACTATATTATTCTAGGAGTTAAGAACAAAATTGTGAATAAGACGGTAACCTTGGTTCTCAGAGACTCACAGTCTAGTGGGTAATATAGACACAAATAATGACAGATGCAACCCCAGACTTCTGAACAAGGCTTAGGGCAGTGGTTCTCAACCTGTGGGTTGCGACCCCTTTGGCGGTCGAACAACCCTTTCACAGGAAGCATGGATGGAGTGTTTGTGTGAACTAATATAAATTCAAAGTAAACATCATTACATAAAAGGGTACGGTCTTTTTTTTTTTTTTTAATTTTATGGTTGGGTCACAACATGAGGAACTGTATTTAAAGGGCCAGAAGGTTGAGAACCACTGCTCTAAGGTATGTAGTTGCTATGGTTATTCCCACTTCGTTACTAAGGGTCCGGAGGCTTTGAGGGCTCAGCCAGTATGGCTGAGATGGATGGAGCTGGGACTGGAGCCCAGATCTGTCTGACACCTGTGCCTGTTCCATTGCTCAGTCTCAGGCTTCAGGGAGAGCTCAGGATTACAGAGTGGATTTTCAGCCCTCAGCCCCAGAGATCCCGATTCAGGTCTGGGTTGGGGTCTGGGAATCTGCACTAGAACAAGTTCCCTGATGTCTCTGAAGCACCCCCATCCTGAGACACCCTGCCAACCGCACCATCCTGGCAAAGCCTCCTCAGCATCCCCACTAAGGAAACCCCCGGGTGGAGAGTTCCCACGGGCTCTGTAAAACTCCCAGCATGCATCATGGGCCAGGCCTCACGCCAGACATGCCTCCACCTTCGTACTCAGGAAAGGGGTCTCCAGAGCCCTTATGGGGAGAGGATTTTATGCTCTGGAAGAATCCTGGAAGGATTCTGGGCCAGATTAAGGAGAAAGCCACTTCTTATGTACGGGGATGTGCAAAATCACAGCAGAGACAGCCAGCTGAGCAAGGGGCCAGTCTTGGGTGAGTGACATGGTGGTGGGGTTGAGTCCCAGCCCTGCCACAGTGCCCTCACCAGGGCTGCAGTTCCCTCACCTTGACAAGGTGGGGCTGGACTAAATCTCCATAGCTCTGTTATGCCATGGTAGGGGTCCCTGCCAGTTCCTGGCTGCTCTCTGTAGGCTGCGGTGAGGGGAGAACATGCGGGGGCGGGGGGGGGGGGTAGAGAATGGGATCTTACCTGAGTCCAGCAGGGGTAGGGGAAGTTCGGGACCTCCTTAGGGCTCCTTACCAGGAGGTGGCAACAGGACTCTGATTGCTCCCTGGCCATTCACAGCTGTCTCTGCTGCCTCCGGCTTGGCACCTATCTTTATACACTCTGGCTGACCTGAAACCTTACCCTGCAGACGCTAGTGACAGCCTGATCACTTGACAAGAAGCGGCTGGTGAGGGGCAGGGAGGTGAGGGAGGAGGTCAGAGTTCTAGATCTGGTTCAGTTCCTTTCACTTGAGGTTCTTTAAAATAGCTACTGAAGGAAGCTATTGAAGGAAGAGCTACCTCAGAGGAGGAGGATATATATGTGCATGTGTGGGGCATTGGATCAGTCACCTGTGAAAGTCCAAAGGTCAAGGCCTCCCTCCGTAGGCTGGGCAGGTCTCTCCCTAGCCTCCTCTCAATAATAACAATGATAATAACTCATTTCTTGGTGCCTCCTATGAGCTAGATACTTTACATATATTATTTCTATTTCTCACAAACCTAGGAGGTAGGTACTAATAGGATTCTGAGTTTTTTTCAGCTTTGCCCTGGCCAGTGTTTCTCAGTGGTTAGAGCATCTGCTCACATACTGAAGGGTCTCAGGTTTGATTCTCAGTCATGGGCACATAGCTGGGTGGCAGGTTTGATCCCCGGCCCTGGTCAGGATGCGTGTGGGAGGCAACCAATTGATGTCTCTCTTTCACATGGATGTTTCTCTCTCTCCCCCCACTCCCTCCTTCCCACCCTCTCTAAAAAACAATGGGAAAAATATCCTCAAGTGAGAATTAACAAAAAACAGAAAAAAGAAAAGAAAATAACAGCTTTATTGAGAGATAATTCACACACCATTCGCCTACCTATTGGATGTTTTTAGTACATTCACAGTTATACCATCAATCATCACAATTTTAGGACATTTTCATCACCCCTCAAAATAAAATCCCCCTACACGTCAGCAGTCGCTTCCCTTCTCCCCAGCCCCAGGTAATCACTAATCACTATAGATTTGCTTGTTCTGAATATTTCCTGTAAATAGAATCATACAGTGTGTGACAATACCCTGTGACTGGCTTCTTCCACTTAGCATACTGTTTCCAAAATTCATCTGTTCGTTCCTTCTCATGGTGGAGGATCCTAACATTTGTAATGCTCATTTTACAGAGAACACTGAGTCTCAGGGAGAGACAATGACTTATACAGGTCACACAGCTAGTACGAGGCAGAGCCTGGCTCTAGCCTGTAAATTGTAACGTACTTTGGGTCTGTCTGCTGTGACCACGTTTTCGATGACATAACATTTGGAGGTTCCAGCAAGGACACTGCTGGAGCCAAAGGCCGCTGGGAGGGTGTGGGGGGCAGGATGGGAAGGGTCCTCTGAAGCAGCTGCTGTCTGATAGGCACTGAGGGTAAGGATTGGGCACATCTCAACCTGGAACCCAGGTGACAGAAAAGAGGAGAGAGGGGGGAGGGGCGAGGGGAGGAGAGGGCAGGGGACGAGAGGAAGAGAGGGCTGGGAAGGGAAGGGAATGAACTGGGTGGGGCAGAGTAGGCAGAGGCCAATGCTGGATTTGGGCACAGAGCCATGGCCCCGAGGCAGATGATCACAAGTCCAGACGCTCAAGCGCAAAGCCTGTCCTCCTAGAACCAGGCCCTGCCCTAATGTCAGCAGGACAGGCAGCTGTGTAAGTGCTGTTAGAGCAGTGGCTGGGGGGCCACTGAGGTTGGGAGGGCTCAGGACATAGGTTCCAGGCTCCACCTGAAAATGCTGGCCTCGAGGTGGTGGGTGAATTGCAGTGGGCACTGTATCTGGGGAGGGATAAACAGTAGGAACCCAAACAAGGGGACAGCGGGCCCTGGACAAAGTCAGAGGGCAGGCAGGCGGCTGGCTCAGCTTACACTGGCCTGAGAGCTTCTTGAGGGCGGGGCCAGGCCTGTCTGCTTTGGTTCTGTCCCTAGAACCCAGCCTGCTCTAGCAGTCCCAAGGTTGGCTGCTCTGAGCTGGGATCAAGCTGTGGGTGATCAGAAACACCCATTTTCAGGTCTCCTCAAAGGAAGCACTCAAAGGGAAGTGGGGGAGACAAGGCTAGCTCTGCTGCTGGTGGTGGGAACGAACAGGTACCTCATACGGCATGACCCTGCATGGTGTTCCACCTCTGAGCTGTCACTGGCAAACAGACCCAGCTTCCGGGGGTGCAGTGGGTTTCAGACCCTCAGAGTGTCTACGTCATGAAGGCTGCCCTGGGCCTGGGTGGAAGCAGCCCGTGTCCTCCTACGGCCTTATCCTAACTCGACCTGATCAGGCTATTTACAGGACCTGAAGAGGATTTAGAAGGAATATTCTTCACCAGCTTAACACCTCAGGTCTGGGCCCCTGACTGCTCCACTGTAGGTTCTCTGTGGCCTCAAGGGAGGAATAACCCCAGGCCTTAACACTCTGGGCTGGTGGCTTGAGGCGGCGGCTCTGGGGAGGGGGTGAGCTGGCAGGCGAGGGGGCTGAGGCGAACAGATGAAGGAGGGCAGGCTGGTCTGAGGGCACTTCACCGATGAGGGCACCGTGTCCCTCCCTGGGGTCCTGCATCGCGGTGGACCTCCAAGGGCACGCCCTGCCTATCTCACAGTTACTGGTGCGCTTGCCTGTCCAGAGGAGTGTGGAGGTGTGGGCGGGGCTGACATTTCCTAAGCCTCCACCAAGTGCCAAGTGCAGCGAAGCACTTTCACAAATGTCATCTCATTTATTCTTCACACCAACCCTATGAAGCGGGGATATTATCTCCATTTTACAGATGAGGCAACAGAGGCTCAGATGCAGGGAGAGTCAAGCCAGGGGGGGACTGACTGGGGGAGTGGTGTCTTCTCCATCCCCAGATGCATGTGGCCCGAGGACCCTCTGGGTTCTCTCTCTGGGCTCTCCTCGACTTCTCGGTTCTAGGAAGCCTTCCCTGACTGCTCCAACCCACGTGGCCTTTCTCCATACAGTCCCTAAATTCACAGCACTTACTGGCTGTGTCCTGTTTTGGTCACTGAGTGCAGAAGCCTTGTGACATCTCTGGAGATGTCTTGTGTGGTGGTTCTCTTCCTAGCTACACCAACAGAGGCAAATTAACTTCACTGAGCTTTAGTTAACTCTAAAATGGGAAACCTAACATGGAGGTTAGAGTTGTTTTTTTTTTTGGATTAAGTGAAATGACCTGTGCTTAGGAGTAGAAAGCAGGACCCTCCATGTTAGCTCCCTTCTAGCCTGTCGCAGCCACTCTGCACATCTTTGTCCTTATCTCCCCCGCAGGCCTTGTCTTCAGCGGCTGCTCAGTTTGAGGCCTGACAGTCTAAGCCAGAGCCACCCGTCCCGGAGGGTGGGGAATTCTGAGACGACTTGTTGCAGGAGACTCCCTTTACTTTGCTGATAGATTTGAGGCACCAGCAAAGAAGTAATGGGCGTCACCCTAATCTAGATCAACCCGATCTTTGGGGAATTCCTAACTCTCCTGTCCAGTGGCCAACCCAGGAAATACTTGTGCACAGAATACAAATACCAATATGATTTTATTCAAACACAGGCAGGAACAATGACCTTCAGAGCTGGGTAAAAACAATAAGTTAAAAGCATGGTTAGAATTTCAGACAATCAGATAAAATGTTTGAAGGAGGTGATTTCCCCCTCCTCTCCTACTAATTCAACACAGCATAAAATAATTTAGATCTATAAAATATCCTTATTCCCAAGCAAATGAACTGAAGGTGGTGTAGCATTTCCTCATTTATGCACAATGCATACAGTCTACACCTTCCCCCAACACCTTTAAGGCAGAAATGGCCCATCACGGGCAGAGAGTGAGCTCATGCCAGCAGTACGCTGTGTCAAGGACATTGGGAGGAGTTTCTCAGCCAAAAGATGCCTGAGTGGGTCCCTTCAAAAGACAAGTGGGCCAGTTGGGTGCTGGAATCCATTCCGTTTCTAGTCTTTGCCTCAATATATCAGGAAGAAGCCGAAGTCCTTGCAGGTGGACAAGGGGCCGGTTTGGACGCTCTCACTGTCTATGCTGTCTGGGGCTCGGGGTGCCCATGAACTAGCCTAGTGGTTTCAGGACTCTGACAGCCCAGAGAGGAGACCTGGCACTCCTGCAAGCTGGACGAGGCTGAGGGCGGTGGGCAGGGGCTCCTTCCTTCAGTCTCTCAGGCTGCGTTAGTCTTTCTGGGAGTACTGGGAAGAAAATATCCGTGCGATTCTGCGAGTTTCTTCTTCAGACAGGTTGGGAGGCAGCGAGTTAGGTCTTGGACGACAAGGCCTTCGGGACGGGGCGCTTCCAGTGCCTTCACTCTTGTCCTGGAGAGGAAGTCAGCTAGGTTAGCACTGAGGAAGTGGCACCACCAAGAGATGGCTTTGGTTCCTCTTATCTTTTGGTCCTTTGGCTAACAGTGATGCAGAGCTTACTGGTTTACAAAGCACTTTACATACCTGATCTTGTATAATCCTTACCTCAACCCCATGGGTGGGTACATCACTCCCATGTCATAGGTGAGGAAACTACAGTTCAAGTGAAGTGAACTCAAGGTCCCACAGCTTGGAGTAGCAGCCAAGATGTGAACCAGCTCAGACTCTTTCTAGGCCTCCGGAGGGGCAGTCCCCTCTAGGATGGGTTTGAAGCCTCATCCATTCTGTGTCTGTATGAGTCTAGACAAGACATTTGTCCTTAGAGTTATGTCTGTCCTACGTGTGACACCAGGAATATATTCAACTTCTGGGAAGAAGATGTTGGTGAATAATATACTCTGTTGGCCCTTGGAGTTCCTCAAGCTGCAGGTGACAAGAAGCACATACTCATGGTCCTACTATCAAACATCTGACTCGAGCGGACAGGTTATCACTAATTCCACCCTTAAGGTGCTCCATTTGGGCTAGTCCACTGTGGTCCTCGACACCTCTATGACTCACTCATCTGCTCAACCTTTTTTCTTGCTTAGCCTGTGCTAGTCTCCTGCCCTGAAGGAGCTCAAAGCTATACAGGAAAGCTACCCACTGCAGCTGGCCGAGAGCACGGCCCTGGGGAAGAGGTGGAGGCCTCGCAGGAGAAGAGGAAGTGCTAAAAGCAGATGGGAGTCGCCACCACAGGCAAACTGGGCTGAGTTTGCAGCATGCAGCCTGCCCTCGGGATGGACCTCTCTTCCCGTCCTCCAACTCCAGGAGCTGTGGCCTTCACTAGCTGAAGAACACTAAGAACACACTGCACACCCCGCAGGCACTGAGGAGCTTGAGGCTACCTCCCCGCTTCCTGAAACTCTGCTGCTGATGGGAAACTGAGGCCCAGCTATAGCTGCTTCTGGGATCAGTAACATTTAGTGATCCTTCATTTCCTTAACCTATTTGTGATGCCTACTGTGAGAGGGAGACAGAAATGGACAGAATTCATTTCTTGACCTCCACAGCTCAGTTACGCAGGGGAGACAGAAAGATCTACTGAAAGAATTAGAATAGCAGCCAGCATATAAGGAGAGTGGAAATCAGGCATCCCCACTCTACTGCCTGGGCATCAGTTTTCCACCCATGGAAAAGGGGAAGATGGGCAACCTCAAGGGTCCTTGCCAATCTGGAATTTAAAATGCCAATGGAGTGCAAACAACCTGAGTAAGCTCTCAGGTATGACAGGATTTCCTGGGAATCAAGCAAAGTGGTGCTAGGGGCTGAACAGAGACTAGAAGATATGGTTCCGTCTTCCAGGCAGGCCTAGGCTAAAAGGAGAAAAAGGAAACCAACCCTTTGTTAGTGTATGTATTTCTTCTTTCCAAAATATGGGAGGCACCTGCATCCCATAATGCCTCAGACCAGGGGAGGCCTGTTGCCTAGCCACTGCCTGTTACCTTCCCCTTCCAGACTGAGTGCTCCTAAGGGCCTGAACTGAATCTATGCTTGTGATTCCAACTGGTCCAGATCCAAGATAGGAGCCTGGTAGCTGTTAGATCAGTGAATGGGCGGGACCAAGCCACTGTGACCAGAGGCTTAAATTGAGTGGGGAGGAGACTGTCTCTTGTAGCAAATACCTCATTCATTTATTCTGGAACCCATGGTTGTTACGGCCTACTATGTGCCAAGTCTTTAGAGTCAAAACCTTTCTGCAGCATTTTAAGCCTCAGCATACCTTTCTCTACTCCCAAGATCCAAGATTGTTGTTTCCTGAACTATTTAGAATTTAGGAGTGACACCAAGTACCATTCCAGTCATCTAGTTGTACTGCAGATGGATCTTCTGGGTCACCAGCTTAATTTCCATTTCTTTTTTTTGTTTTTGATTTTTTTTCTTTATTAAGGTATTACATATGTGTCCTTGTCTCCCCCCCACCCACCTCCCCGCTCATGCCCTCATCCCCCTAGTGTTTATGTCCATTGGTTATGCTTATATGCATGCATATAAGTCCTTTGGTTCATCTCTCCCCCTTTCCCCCACTCCCCCTGCCTTCCCTCTGAGGTTTGACGGTCTGATCGATGTTTCTCTGTCTCTGGATCTGTTTTTGTTTGTCAGTTTATGTTGTTCATTATATTCCACAAATGAGTGAGATCATGTGATATTTATCTTTCTCCAACTGACTTATTTCGCTTAGCATAATGCTCTCCAGGTCCATCCATGCTGTTGCAAATGGTAGGAGTTCTTTCTTTTTTATAGTAGCGTAGTATTCCATTGTGTAGATGTACCAAAGTTTTCTAATCCACTCATCTGCTGATGGGCACTTAGGCTGCTTCCAAATCTTAGCTATTGTAAAGTGTGCTGCTATGAACATAGGGGTGCATATATCCTTATTGATTGGTGTTTCTTGTTTCTTGGGATATATTCTTAGAAGTGGGATCACTGGGTCAAAAAAAATATGGAACGTTTTACGAATCTGCGTGTCATCCTTGTGCAGGGGCCATGCTAATCTTCTCTGTACCGTTCCAATTTTAGTATATGTGCTGCCAAAGCGAGCACAATTTCCATTTCTTTTTCTGCTACAGTGAAAGGGGACCAGGGAGATATCGGTCCTCTCTCAAATTCTAAAACCAGGCCTCTGTGTCCTGACAGAGGGGAAGCATTCTCTGTTTTTAAGAGGCTCTTATGGGCCTTGCTCTCCATGATTGGAAGGGCCAAGTACCTCAGTTCATGAAATGACCATCAAAAGACCTTAGTTGGTGATTCATCAAACCTTTCAGGAACCTAAGATCTGTTCAACCTAATCAATTCTTTTTTAAAAAAATATGTTTTCATTGATTTTTAGAGAGATAAAAAGGGGGAGGGAAAGAGAGATAGAAACACTGATGATAGAGAAATATCATTGATTGGCTGCCTCCTGCACGCCCCCTACTGGGATTGAGCCCACAACCTGGGCATGTGCCTTGACTGGGAATCGAACCAGTGATCTTTTGGTTCCTGGATTGAAGCTTAACCACTGAGCCATGACGGCTGGGCCAACATGATCAATTCTTCTTTTTAAATAGATTTTATTGATTTTAGAGAGGAAGGGAGAGGGAGAGAGAGATGAAAACATTAATGATGAGAGATAATCATTGATCGGCTGCCTTCTTCAAGTCTCAGCCCCTTCCTCCCCGCTCCGGGGGATTGAGCCTGCAACCTGGGCATATGCCCTGACCAGGAATGGAACCATGACCTCCTGGTTCATAGGTCGATGCTCAACCACTGAGCTATGCTGGCCAGGCCAACCTAATTAATTCTTAAGGATAATAGGTAGCCCTGGTTCCTGTCCTCATGGGTCTGCTCAGCAAGAGGGGAGACAGATACCAACCTATCCAACAATCAGAGATGAGGCCTGGAACTTGGGAGCACGGAGAAAGGAGCAACTATTAACAGCTGGAAAGGTCAGGACTCTTCACACAGGTGGGATCTGAGATGAGCAGGGTTTCAGCAGAGCTGGGGGAAGGACATGAGGTCATCCCACTGGAGGGAACAGCATGAGCACAGGCCTGCACTTGCTGCCTGGGCCAACTGCCCTGGAGCTGAATCTAGTGTGGCTGGTTCAGCCAACCTCCCAGCACCCACGCCCAGACCCAGCGACTTAGGGGGCCTTATCTGTGTGGCCCAGGCCCAGGGACCAGGGCTTGGCTGTGTGTACAGGGTGAGGCAGAGGTGTGGAAAGACAGAGAACACACCCTCAGCAGCATTTGGTTTTTGTTGGCCTCAACAGGGTTTAAAAAACATCTTGACTAGTAATAAACGTTTTTTCTTCATCAGGATTGCTACCCTAAAATACACAACCTGGAGGAGCTGGGCAGAGTGAAGCTAGCCCTTTTGGCAGAAGCAAGTTGTCACCATAGCCTGGGATTTGCAGGAACCTCAGCTTTCCTGGGGAGGCAGGAGGAACCCACATGGAAGCAGGATCCTCAGACTGAGGGGCTGTAGGGGCCCTGGAGTCTAGACAGTGGGTGTCATACATGGGGTGACATCCCTGGAAGGATACTTTGAAGAGGGACTTGAAAAATCATGAAGGTGGAATATGAGAGAGGGTGTTCCAGGTAGAAGCTCAACTTGCGCAAAAGCGTGAAGAAGGAATTTCTTTGCTGGGAAAACAGTGTACATAGAGATAACGGAAAGCCCAGAGAAGGGGACTGGGGCTTGCCGAGGGAACTTCCTAAATGTCTGGGCTGGGGAGAAACTGACCATATTCCTCTGTGGGATCTGGGGTGGAGGTTTGACTACTGTCCTGGGTTGAAGGGCAGAACTGTTTTTTCCAATGGTCTGGGTAAGCATGGTAGCAAGCCAACTGTCCCCATTAAACTCACCCCGCTTTCCCATTAAATTCTCCAACTTTCAAATATGGGAACCTCCTTTTTTCTGAACACCTGGACACCCAGGCCATGAAGAACAGGTCTTAATGCCTATTATTTGAGACAGGTGTCTCAAAGGAGATTTTAATGCCAAAAGGTAGAACTCCGCTGGGGTGAAAATAAAGTGTCATGGAAGGAGTAAGATATGGTGGTGGAAGGAAAATTTGGGGCTTCCCGGGCACCTCAAATCAAGAGGCTAACTCTGGCTGGGAGCTGGTTCTAGTTCTGGCTCTAGTGCTTCTTAGACAAGTGATTTTGGGCAAGTCACTTTCTCTCTGGGCCTTGGTTTCCCCATCTGAAATGGATCAGGAGGAGCAGATAATGCCAGAGGAGGCTCTGTAACCCAGGGACTTAACCCAGCTGTGTTCACAGGCCATGTCCCTGTGATGCATCTTCTCCAAGGCACTGTGATTTGGGTTCCCTCCACTCCAGTCCCCAGATGGGTCCCCCTGAAAAGGTCACAACATGTTCCCAGGAGGGTGGTAGGTGCAGGTGCCCCCACTTACCCCTGGGACTTTCTCATAGGGGAGATAGTGGGGTGGAGCGGGAGGAACACTGGTCTGAGGCCAAGCTCAACTGCCCACTTGCTAGAGCCAAGATACTTTCTCTCTCTGAGTCTCAGTAACGTCATTGCCAAATGGAGCTAAGAACTTCTGTTTGGCCTTCTTACCTCGGGTCTACTGTGAAACTGAGAAATAAAATTCAGATGTGGCCAAGGCTCTGGCCAGGTACAACATCTTGCAAAACACAGGTGCTAAGCTGGAGCTACAGCTGACACCAGCTGCAGAGAGTAAATGAAGCCTTGCTGTTCTTGGACCTCACCCTAGCAGAGAAGAACTGGGTACAACACCTCCCCAAGGCATGCCAGGCCAGGCCTGGCCAGGCTCTCCCCACTTCACTGAGCCCTGCCCAGTGAGCCTCTGGGCCTGGCATTAGGACTGAAGTTTTGTTCTTTCCCAGAGCAGCTCCCCTAAGTGATAAACACTGACTCAGGAGCTGGAAGCAAAACTTTCCAGAGCTGAAAACTGTTAATAGCCTCCTGGTTCTGGCTGGCTAGGTGGGCTTGCCAACAGATCACTGCTTCAGACAAGTGAGGGCTCAGTATAGTTGCCTGCCCTGCTCAACTTTCATCCCCTTGGCTGGCTGCCTGCTTCTGGGGTGGGGGTGGGGCTCACAGAGTCCTCTCTGAAGGCCGGGACTAAGACTTGGTGCTAAAGAGAGCTGTAAACCTAGCAGCTGTGGCTAAGAGCAGGGGGAAGTGGGGACAAGATACAGACCACAGGCATAGCCCTAAGGGCCAATCTTAATCTGACCCACCCAGCCCAGCTGCAGCACAGCTGGGGCCCACGCTCTAGCTCTCATCATGTGGGTCTCACTACTTACATGCTCCCTTTGAGAAGCCTTCCCTGACAACAGGCTGTTCCCCAGGGCCTAGGATCACTCCCTCACCTTAGGCCTGTCTCCTCATCTACCCAATGAAGAGGCCTGACTAGATCCAGACTCCTCAACCTTTTGAACCCATGCCGTCAGTAAGAGGGCCCAAAAGTCCAGATTCCTGAGAGGGGAGGGTTAAAGTGACAATTGGTCCTTTCCCTTGAGGAGCCTGTCAAATTGCATTCTGGGCCAGGGTGGGCATCAGCCAATTCTAGCTATTTCCCCTGATTTCTGTCCATCCTTGACCAGGGAGCTCATCTCCTTCCCAAAGCTTTGTGTGGCCCTTACCAGAAGCCCTTTAATCTTTAGGTCTTCTCTTGGGGCTCTGCAGAGGGCTAGAGTCTTGGTGGCTCACAAAAATGGGCCTCCAGCTCCAAGAGGGACAGTTCAGCCATCAGGCCTGGAGCACAGGCTGAGGACACAAGACACCAAGCTCAGGAAGTTTCCTTGCTGATCTGATCTGGTGATTTTGTGGTGGTTGGGCTTCTTTGTCAGGATTGTATATTTTTTATTTTTATTTATTGATTTCAGAGAGGAAGAGACAGGGAGATTAAAAACATCAATGATGAGAGAGAATCATTGACTGGCTGCCTCCTGCACACACCCCACTGGGGATCGAGCCTGCAACCTGGGCATGTGCTCTGACTGGGAATGGAACCATGACCTCCTGGTTCACAGGTTGATGCTCAACCACGGAGCCACAGCAGCTGGGCTTTTATTTTATTTTTTAATGTTTTTATTGATTTTAGAGATAGGAAGGGAGAAGGAGAGATAGAAACATCAATAATGAGAGATCATTGATTGGCTGCCTCTTGCATACCCCTCACAGGGGGTCCAGCCCACAACCCAGGCACATGCCCTGACCAGAAATGCTCAACCACTGAGCAACACTGGCCGGGCAATTGTATACCAGATGTCTCTGGGTTTGGGGAAGGGAAATCAAGGGACAGAAAAATTCCTTGGGTTCCTGGGAGACAAGCGGCAGACTTAATGCCTTAAGACTCATAGACAGGCAGGCCATGGACTGCCTATCACTCTTAGGTGGGGCAGTGTGTTGTTCTGGG